TTGAACAGCGCACAATTAGAATCGTGAGATTTAACAAACTAAAAGTTTAACAATGCGGAAATGTATAGTCCGTTAAAACCTGTCCAACACACAATGTGGGAAATAATATTCGACACAGTAAATCGACTTCCGTTATGTTAATCCTAAAGATATAACAGACAACAAATCTCGTCATTCTCAATTAAATATATGATTTCCACTTCCAACATAATTATGTAGTAAGTAAAATAAGTTAAATTGAAGGTCAACTTTAACCATAATCCCGTAACAAGCACACAGGTCAACAACTGCAACAGATTGTTTTTCATTCTTAATGATAAAAAAAAACCATAACTCTATTTTCCAGCATACATAATAAGTGATAAGTAGTTAAATAAATAATAAATATTACAGCTAATAAAATATAAGATACAAACGAATTTGATATGATTGACGTATCACTAATTTATACACACGCACACACGTGGATAGTATTTCTCAAATATAACACATTACACTTGTGCTGATAGGAAATAAATGGGGTAAGTCGAAAATTGGCGTCATGCAAAATCCGATACCAATATGATTAAACATTTTATACCTTTAGCTTTAGGTAATTTTATGATGAGTGGTTCTTGCATTAAACAAATTTTCAAGTATCTTGTGCTCGAAATTTCAATAAAAAAATGAACAGTCCACACGGAATCCGGTTGGCAAAATGATCTCGTGTTCGGTTAACAGATTATTTTAAGGCTATCATACTGTTTGACTGGTCAACGACGACGATCTGCCCTAGTTGAACGGAGGCCAAATACGACGTTCGTGCGTCTAGTGTGTCCAGACGTATAATAATAGCCGTTGTCGGGTAAAACTTGGGTAAACGAAACATTTCATCCCCACAAACACTTGGCACAACAGGCGCTGTGTGGATGCTTCACAGTCTCCCACTCCTCTTGCCCTCCCTTCCTATCACCATATCAATCCTAGCAGGCCGTGTCGTCTCAAAAATCGTAGCACAGTACAGAATAATCTGATTTAGCAGTAAACACTAAACACCGCATATATGACAACGAATATTGTGTGCGGCAAACGTTGGAATCTAACATAGCTGCCACCAACACTATTTTTAGATAACACCAACATCAGAAGAATTTCGAAAAGGAGTAATTATAACTGCCGTCAAACCGTCCACGCGGATACTACTACACCGGCCAACTTTATGCGCTGTATCTTATATTTATGTTATGTTGTATATTTTTAAATTCACCTACGTTCAGGTAGTCATCACACATCAATAATAATAAAAAAATGTTGTAATTTAATGATGATTCACAAATCAAAATTTTACACACCGATAAGGTTTCCACAAAAAAGGCCTAGCAGGTGGGCGACTGATACAAGGGTTATAAGTGAAACTAAATAATACAAATTGTACTACAATGTAAAAACCTCAATGTCAGAACGAGGACTTTACTGGGATCCTCTTTGTTAAACCATACCATTACATTATGCACAAATCTAATCAGTTGCCTAAACATCCCTGGGGAGGTTTGAGGGGTAAAATGACCCCCGCGGTTCAATTTATAACATGACAATTATATTAAGCAGTACAGTTAAAACAAAGGGTACAGAATATCCTCAAACTACAAACCTTTGTTGTAGCCCTGACAACCAAAATATAACTGTTCACTGTTATAATTTAATTGTTTTTCTATAAATGACAAAAACAGTTTTTTATCTTATTTTTACTCTTTTTCCCCTTTTGATAGAAAACACCAATTCTAGCAAAGGACTCCCCCCTCCCGCCCGTAAGAAATCGAAGTGTACCTCGCAGTTTTTTTTTTTTTAATTTAAGAGACTAAAAAAAAATTATACAGATTTCGACGCACGCAAAGTAACGGTCTTGGAGTTACTTTATGTTTGTGGTTTTCTATAATGATGGTTGGTTGGTAAAAAACTATCTAGTGGATGACAGACACATAACATTTTTAGCTTATAGCAGACACCATCTAAAATTCGTTCTTGGCGAACCCACGACAAACCTTACGGTGTAATTATCTGACCTTTGAGAAAACTTCAAATTTCTTTGCGCGTGATCGTCGCGTATTACCCCGCGACAAGTGCCTCGACCTGAATGGAGTCACTTGCCAACCGCACGTTTGTTATATTTTGTGCACGTTGCAACCCGGTGGCGGCGACACAGAAACCTCTCTCGGATTCACCGCCGTCATCGTTAACGCTCGTCGCCGACCAGGCTACTATTTTTATTGACCGTTGAGCCAAGGGTCTTCTTAACGCCTGCGTCAGCCGCTTTTTGAAACAAATACATTAACAACCGACAGAGAAACATAGTTTGGCTGTCACCGAGGGCAACAAAAATACAAAAAAACGTACATTATTAATACTATTCAACGGTAGGACCGAACAAGTAACGAGGAGCAACAACGAACTGATTTCCAACAGCACACACCACGTTATTGCTGTCACTTCATTAGTAAAAATACATATTTAACAACATCTGAATTATATATTGTAAAAAAAGAGCTAACGGTAATAATAATTGTGACAAAAATCACTGACTACTTGATGTTTGAACGAAATACAATTTTAAATGTTATATTATAGAGTTACAGAGTTTTTGATAAAACGAATAAAACAATATCGTACATATTATTTTCGTCGTGATTGTAATTAAATACAACTTAGATTTACTACAAAAATATGCTTTTGCATTTCCTATATTTGCTTCAAAACCATAAAAAAAGTTTAGTCGAAGCTAAAAATACAGTTATTGAAAATATACAAAACAAATACTTTAAATGCAAATATATATAAACCCATATAAATATACTGAATTTGTTAAGCGTTCAGCATTCCAAATTCTAATTGAATGTGTATTAGATGCATTAAAAAAGCATTCAACTAGTACAAGTATCACAAAATTATTGTAAACGATGGAAAACTCGCCTCTTGGCTAACATTTTTAAGAAAAATAATACGGTGACAATATTTTAAAGAGGTTCGAGTACAAATCACAGTCACACAATTAGCACATTAATGAAATAAAATAATTTGTTTTAAAAGCATATTGAACAATACTAGCAATGTAGCTACGTAATTGTACTTTTAATATTATGTAACAACAGTATAATGCATATACAATACATGTTACTGTACTATCTTGTTGATTATAATATTATAATAAGTAGCAACAAAAAAAAATCCTATTTAATAATGATTTAGATATTCAATCGATGTGGGATGTAACACAATTTAAATCGAAATATCTAATGCCTTAATCTAAAATCAACTAAATATTCAAATCATGATCTCACACTGAGAATTTAATCATCCCTCTGCAAACCGCAATGAATATTAATTATATCGATAGATAATAATTGTAGCAAATACCATAATCATTTTTACATTTTTATTGTTCAAGATGTACAAAAGAAATCTGCAAATTTTTCTTTTAGTTTAGTCGGAAATACCAATAATACATCCGTAATAATAATAATAATATCCGTACAACCAATCATCCTCGAATATATAACAAGTAGTATACAAAATTATATGTTTTTTATGTGCACAATAAATCATTAAACGTATGATATTACAAGATAGTAATAATAATAATAATAATAAAAGTACCTAATCAAACCAATTCATGAGTTCGTTCACTGCGTTTCATGACGATTATAATACTTAATAAACTTAAAGACAATAAAAATAGTATTATATACTTGAAAATGTATTTGTTTTTATAAGTTTCCTTTATAATTATTAATACATATTTGTACGACGTTACTTCTCTTTCAATCAATATCCTTTTATCGATACCGACTCGAATGCTATCTATTTTGCTATATACATTTGTAATTTTTTGAGCAAACAATTATTACCCTTGCCCTATTTGATTCATTTTGTACATAAACCATACACGAATAATACAATTGAATTTACTGATATATTTAGTCACGAAAGGAATATTTTTTTCACCCCTGCGAGGTAGTTTAAAAATAAACTGATATGTTTTACTAGAGTTTTGGTTCCAACCGAAATTCTTTTTAACAGATCGCAACTCACATTAATTACACACCACAGGAAGTGCAAAGACAAAGTAACAACATTAGGGTGGTCATTTACGCTACTTTAATATCCCGCTGAGATCGCTATACTAATGATTCGGAAAGCTTGGATACCGGCAAGGGAATTTAGTCAGGTGAAATTAAACAGATAGGCGAAAAGATGAGTTTAATCCGTCTTCACGAACCCGGACTGAGCAGTCAGGTCATGGTATTTTAGAGGAACTTGTTCAACGTTTGCAACAAACATTGTCGTTATGTCATAGATTATTACTACTGAACAGAATATACAGTTCATAGATTATGACTATTGCTATGCTCAGACCGCCGAACTTATCGATTGATGCTAATGATACACAATTCTAAGAAAAACCAAAAACTTCCTTTTTTTTTTTGAGAAGGTGAGGGCATATTCGTGACTACGATAACATTACACAGACATCCTGTTTATTGAGATTCACCAAAGGGGCAATAGCACCGACAAACTGTCCAAAAAATACATATTTCGAAATTCTATATTGTACCTGCCCTAATTTTTTTTAATGTTTTTTCAAGATTTTTTGGAGGAAGGAGTGACCGTTTCTAATTTTTGACCTTCTAACCCGTAGGTAGCCTTTCGGGCATGATTTTTGATCAGTGAATCTGCTATTTGAATAAACCGGCCTGGCTATAATTTTAGCCAAAGAGCCTTAATTACGAAAGTGACCAACTTAGCGGCCGTTACTCGTTCATTATAAGTTCTTAACTGTATCTGTTTTGTCGTCCATTTTTCACGGTTAATATATAACCCAACGACAATGAAAACGAATTAACCAACAGAACACAGTCACTCGAGTTGACTATTCTGTTCATTATCAAGGCTCTAGTTTAGCTTTAGTTATTAATGCTTACAGATACCAAAAAATAAAAAATATTGCTGAAAACAAAAACTCTTACCTGGTAATTCATCACTTCCGTCTCGTCAATGTTGTTTATTTCGAAATTTGATGGCGCATTTTGATTGAATAAAGCTTTTCCGGGATAGGATGTGCTCCGTCTGAATTTCGACGAGTTTGAAGGGTTGTGTTGATGCTGATGATGGTTGTAATTAGCGTTTGGCTTGCGGCCTGACATAGCATGTATTGGGTTTAAATTTGGTACAGAACGTCCGCGGTTCCACGAAGACCCAGCAATACCGCTTTGGTTTTGACTAGAATTGAGCCACGAATTTTGGTGTGACTGCGACCACGAGTAGCCCTTGCTGGCCATGTACAGATTCTGCGGATGGGCTGACTGTTGCAGTTGTCTGGACAAATTGTGCGGAAAGTTATGAGTAGCACCAGACGGTTGACGCCTATGGTGGTGTTGCTGTTGTTGTGGTTGTTGTTGTTGATGATGAGGTCCCATAGCAGGATTGTACATGGCGTTTGAAAAATTCTAAAATCAAAATAAAATAATTACTACAAAACATTGCATTACACTTTTACTTATAGGTGTGTTTGTGGAGTGAATAAAACAATGGCGATGAATTTGTGTGTGACGGAGAAAGCGGAATTGGCCGGTCGACCCCATTTGTAGGGGATATGGCGAAAAAGGCTTTTTAACTTTTCTTTTCACAATTTTTTCTCCTCGGTAGCAATTTCAAAAATTTGCGTAATGCGTTTATTTAGCCGAGTCGGTTTGTCATTTTATATAATTTTCACTCATTGATTTTAAAATAAGTTTGACTTGAAGCGTAGTTGACAGATAATTACATTAATAAACAAGTACTTCTTTAATTCTTAAACAAACTAATTTTGACAGAGATAAGCGCTTGGTCACTATATTTCACGCGCAGTTTAAGACTTAAGACGTTCGGTAAATTTTAATTAGCAGGGTTTTAATTAGCAAAGTTATTGCGTTGAATTAAATTATTATAAGTACATAAGGCACCAAAATATTTGTTCGTTAGACATGCTGACATGAAAGAAGAGGTGTCCATTAAAACTACTTTAGATTTTAACTTTATGAATATAATAGTGGTTAGAATTTATTTTTTGTTATTCAAGCATTAATATATCGCGTGGAAACTTACTATTTAGGCGACGTGGAAGATTTTTAAGGGGAGTAGCCGTGGAAACATTAAAAATTAGTGGGTCTGTGTGTTTACATAAATGTGGAATAGTATTAACGAGCAAGATTGGATAAGAAATAAATGTTTAAGTCATGGTGCAGCGTGCATTATTAAACAAAACAAATAGAAAAAACAGACTTTTCCTAACACTTCACATTTTTAAAACAAAAACGTAAAATCAACATGTTACTTGTATGTAATTGTTAATTGCAAAATTACAAATTTACAATATAATAAGAATTTTTATTATGAAGGTTGTTTTGTTTTTTACTTATGATCAAAAATAATCAGTATAATTCGAAATTGGTTTTTGACCTAAAAATATAGATTGCACTTGAAATTAATAACACACTGAAAGTACATTTTTTCTTTAATAATTTTTAATGGAAAAAAGTAGGTACTACACTAATATCTTCTCAACATTGCTTTGAAACTAAAATAGAAGTCTAAAAAAAATACTTTCTTACTGATAAATGAAACAATACAAATACAAATTTTAAATTCATAAATACAGTTACAAGACTTAATTACAATAAAAATATTGTTTCCAAGTAGAGTTTTAATACTTGTAAACTTGTTTAACTAATTGAAAGATTGGATAGTAAACTCTACCCAACCAGTTCCTATTTTAAAATATAATTCATATAAATAATACCTTAACACTTAAATTTAGATGAGTAATATAGTACATAGATTATAATGATAACTTAAACAACTATAAACCAACAAACAATTTAACCACAAATAATAATAATTTAAATAGGTAGTACTTTTTAATATTTTAACATCAAGTCAGTTATTTTTTTATTTTTTAAGCTTACATTTTCTACTAACTGTGCTAAATATGCTTAGTTGGTTTTATAAGATGCAAGTATAATATTTTTTAAAACACAGTATTCAATTTTATACTAGTCATATTTTCAAAATAATATAACAATTATTTCTGAACATGTACCTAGTTCATTTTTAAGAAGTATTTTATCTTTCCAAGTATGCAGAAATATAATGCATACAATATTTATGAATAGCATTTAAAATTAGACAAAAAATATGAATTTTACTGATATGGAGTATTAATTTACATATAATTAATGGAAACTTATGGCCATTTGCACCAACTGAACTTAACATTAAGATAAGAGTTTAATCTATAGTTTAAGTATTGTTAAACTACCCTTTAAGTATAATTTGTATTAACGACCATTAATATTATATCGAATAATTAAACAATTATAGCTTTTAACGTATAAATGATTTTAAAAAGATAGTAATACATAGCATATTATTTTTACTTTTATATAATGTATGTACAAATGTAAAATACTTAAAATAATATATAACTAGACAAATGCAACAAAGACAAGGTAAAATCACAAACTTAGCTGTTATGGAAGCATACCAATATTTTTTAATTGAAAAAGAATTCCAGTATTTTGAGAGTATGCATATGCAATTATTAATACTGACCAGTATTGAGTTTCTAAAATAAAATATCTAAACAACAGAAAGAATAGCTAGCATTATACTATAGTTTTGGTAGCGTTTAACTCAAAAACATATAAATATGTTATTTATATTCCATAATTACTCATTATTTTGTAAATAAGATTTATGAAAGAATTGGGTAAAAATATATAATAAGTGAATCAAGAATGAACACACTAAATGTTATTGAACTTCATATTCACTGTATATATTTTAAAAGCAGCATATTATAATATTGAACATTTTCCCAATCGCTAGAGCTAATACTCACAACAGTTTATTCTTCCAAAATATACTTAAAAAATATAACTTACCCAACTAAAGTATTTTTATTCAAATACAAAACTAAAAGGGACTAATAAAGATGATCAAAGTAAACTTGTATTTACAAAAATAACTTACAGCGTTGTTAGCAGCCGATGCATTCAATCCGTGTATGAGTGTGTCGTCGACTGATGCCGACCATAAGCTGGACGTGGACGAGTTAGTTGAAGAGTTTATCACATTAAGACTAGGTTCATTATTATACGACGAGGGTAACTGTATTTGTGGGCTGCCCATTGACTTGTCACCTGCACCGAGAGCTGCCATGACGGAGTCCTCTTTGTTGATGTTCTTGGTGGCAGGCAGCTGGTGATCGCCATTGACTGGTGACGGTGAGATCTGCGATTTAACGGCGACGGCGTCCGACTGTTGTAGTCCGTCGTCCACAAAATAGGACTGCGACGTTGACGATGACGTAGTCTGCAAGCCGGACGAGTTCACCGAAGATTGGTATTCAATTGAACTTAAACTAGAATTTACACTAAATTTGTACTCCCCCATTTAAAAATCCACGTACGTTGTCTCGGCGCGCCGGTTTGATGACAATATTTTTTTTTCGGAACGACACGTTGCAAAACACGCACACAGACTTCGAGTATGATGAATAATAATGATTAATAATAATAATAATAATAATTAAATATTATAATAAGGTACGCGTTGCGTTCACAGCCCGAAAACGCGGTCGAGAAAAACTAATACCTTTTTTTTTTTTTTTTGATTATTTATAATATTTTTACATTTAAAAAAAAAACAAAAACAAATTTACTAAACAATTATAATATATATATATATATATGCACTAGACCTTCGGCTGCAAACGGGCACGTTGGCCACCCGCTGATAACACGACTGCACGAGCCGGAACGCGATAGCAGCGGCGGCGGCGGCAGCAGCTTGTCGGTAGCGCTCTCTCTCCGCTGCCGCCCGTTCTCCTCCGCTCTAGGTAAGCCGCCAATCATATGTTTATTGGCAATTTTCGGATTCGACGCACTGGCGTAGGTAGTAGTAGGTAGTAATTGCCAGTAGTAGTAGTAGTAGTAGTAACTAGTAGTCATCACCATTTGTATGGATTACTTGGATCTCTCATTATCATAATTAAAAATCGATATAATAATAATAATCTCATAAATATGGCACGACCCGCGACCGGCATAGATATAAAATTATCAGTTATCACGGCGCGACTGCGATATCAGTGACGTTAGACATATTGTGAATGTTGAGAGATGATTACTACAAAAAAGAAGAAAAAACGCTTCACCGAACAGCCGATAGCGTGACAAACGAATATTATTTATTTCAGACACGATTGTCTAGAAAGTGATTAGTGCTCTATTGCCATTATTAGAAGCGGGTGTGGATTTTGGAAGGGCTTTTGGTATAAGACCTGTGCATGTAAATTGTAATACCTATAGGCCATAATACATATAAATGTTAAATATGTATATAAAGCCCCCACATATTTAATATATTATAGTGCGATTCATTTAGGACAAGATACTCAAAATCACAAAAAAAAAATTACAATTTTAAAGTTCTTCTTTTTGAAAAAAATGTTTGTTTATATTATTGTACATAATTATAAAACTACCAAATATTTACCTTTACCTATTAGAAATTTCCAGAACGCTATTAACTTATAAAACTTAAATGATAATGTATATAGGTATTTAATTAACTTTTTGAATAAAGAAGTAATTTGCAAAACATTTCGAGTGGTCAAAAACCAGTTTTGGACAAATACCTTTAAAGTTTATAACGGGAAAAGGAAGAATTATTTTTATCTGCGCGCATTGCCCTATCGCACTCCACCTCCCGTCATAGATTCTAAACTTTAGTAGCTTAAAAAGTTATTATCCAAAACTAGTTATTAACTGGTCAACATTTTTAGAAAATTATTCTGTATTAAAAAAGTTGGTTAAATTCATAAGATTTAAGTTTCAAATAATATAAATCCCTATGTTTTCTTTTTTGAAAGCAAAGACTTCCCAGTATACCTACACTGAAATAATTAATATTGTAAGATTGTTTACGACAGAACATTTCAAATATTCCAGGAAAAACTTAACATCTAAGGTCTGCAAGCGGTCTGTTTTTTTGACGTTTTAGACCAAAAAGCCTGACAAAATTTCGACTACTTAGGATGGTCCGATTTTAATTCTGTAAAATAAACAAAAATGGCTTTTACTCAGAGATATAATTATTTAAATTAAAAAAATATATTAAGCTCATACAAATTAACCGGTAAATTAATTGATATTTGACATGGTCGAAATTTATTAAAACTTAATTTTTCTTAAGTATTGCCAATATAAAACTCTTTAAAAGCAGACCGCATGAAATTCCCTTAAGAGGGCGTCGCACCGCCCATTTTTAAGGAGTAAAGTATAGGCAATTTTTACAAAATCTTAATTTAAAGGTAAAACTGTGATGTGTAATTATTAGTTCAATAACTAGGACTCTATTTTGGTAGTTAATTTATTTTCTGGACTATCACAGCATCCTTGAAAGCGATTTAAAAATGTTTTTTTATCTCAACTTTTATAAGCAGACTGAAAATAACTCGTTTAATTTTGGATTTAGAGTAAAAGCACCCATTATAAAATTAAAAGAGAACAATAATTCGGAGGGCAAGACAATACGCTTTTTTCATTATTCTAAGTATAACGCTCAATATATAGTTTAGAAATAACGACTATTTTAACATTTTTAAACGACTGTAACTTTCCAAAAAATGAATGTGTGCTTATACTCTAAAACCAAAATTAAGCAAGTTATTTTCAGTCTGCTTAAACATGTTTTTACCACTGAAAATCACCGGTGCGACGCCCTTTTAAGAGGGCTCCCTACAGACCACTTTTAAGGAGTTTTGTATAGGCAATTTTTAAAAAAAAGTGGTTTTAATAAATTTCGAATTTGTATCAACTTAATGGTTAATTTTTAATTAAAATCATTTTTTCTATGAGTAAAAGCCATTTTAGTTAATAGTACATTTTTTGTTCATCGCACAGGCCGAACCAATAATCCGATAAGTAATCTGAAAACAGATTTGAATTTGTCATGAAATTTACTAGAGATCTACCGAGGTACTTTTTTGATATCTTATTCCTATTTCCTACTACGTAAAAAACACGTTTGAATGTTTTTATTACATTTCAAATTTGGAAAGGGTTAAAATTAAAAATTGAAAAAAGTACCTCGGCCGATCTCAAGCAAACTTTATGACAAATTCAAATCTGTTTTTAGTTTGCTTATCGGATCACTGGTTCGGCCTGTGCAATGGACAACAAATGATGTGTTTTGACTGAAAAAATGGCCTGTATGGAGCCCCCTTTAACACTTAGAAAAAGTGATTCAAATTGTATATTATATTATATATAAATATTTTATTTTTTGACAATTTTTTAAGGTTACAATGTAATACATATTTATTATTTATGCATACAACAGTATACATGCCCCACTAATAATAATAGTTATAGATACATCAATTATCATAATTAACAATAAAAATTATTTTAAAACAATTTATTTGTCAAATTGCAAGATCTTTTATTTCTTTTTTGCTGTGGTAGTAACAAGTGTGTAAATATGAGGTTTGCTTTCCGTGAAAATTAAAACACAATGCGTCTATCGAAACACCAAGATAATAATTAGTTATTGACTATTGGAATTATTATCAGTTATTCGTAAAATCATGCCATCGAGTATGGTATTTTATTTTATTGACCAGTGAGCAGTTCAATTACATTTGATAACAAAACAATGACGCGACTGATGGTCTACCCCGATGTAAAAGCGAATTAATTCACGATAACTATTGATATAACTATTATTGCTATAGATTAGTCTGAACTTAAATTAACACTTAATAGTTTATTTATTAATATATCACAATCACGATTAAAACATATTTTATAAATATTGATATATTTTAACATTTTGGCTAGTGTAGTATGGTAATATAAATTTGATAAAATAAATAAATTATTTTTTTGGTGGAATGGTTCCTTTTACGGTAGTTCTGTGTAGTACTCTTAGACCAACTTCACTTGTAGGTGCTTGCGTACTAGAGTGAGCAAAGTGGCCAACACCTAAATTATCGGATATGATAAAATCACCAGCTTCCCACTGAAATATCAATTAAATATTGTATTAAAAAATTTGTATTTTTTCTTTTAATACAAATTATATAATTGTAATAATTATTTAAAATAACTATTATTAAAACATTTTTTTTATATAGGTATTTAATTAGGTATTAAACTTTAACGTAATTAGTTTATTCCTATACATATATAGGGATTTATTATTAGCTGGCCAATTATGCTACACCAGTTAAAGGAATTTAAAACAGAAAATTTTCTGACTTCTTTCAGTAATGTGTGGCGGGTATATTTGAAAGTAGACTAAGTTTCTTACATGACAAACCGAAAATAAGAATTTTTTGTACATAAAATGGAATACTCAGACATGATAAGAATGGTTGTATTTTAATCATAAAGCTCATACTAATAGACTTATCATTTGGGTGGGATGCGGTCAAGTGATGTGAACACGGCTATCGTCATATAATATATACCGATATAAATATAAGTATATTTAGATACATTACCAAACTGAAAACTTGAATGCTCATGGGCACATGACCTAATGACGTCATTAAGTCCCGCCAACACCACAGTCACATTAGCTCACTGGAACTACATGCATGCTCCGTCTAGTAGTATAAGGTCTATGGTTTTAGAGTGTAATATTATATTTAGTATACTATTTAGATAGTGAAATAATCAAGTTAAAACATATATATTAACTTTTATTGGTCCGGTTTAAACAAATTCAATTCACCTTTAAAAAATCTAGTACGTGGCACGGAGGTCTGGAAAAAATACTTAACGCTTTAAAATCAGAGTCTTAATAATGTACTTTGCCTACTTGTCAACAAAATATTTTAGGAACTACCACAGTCAGTGAGCATATATGTTCACGAAAAAGTCTATTAATTCAGAGTTTATTATTCTAATGTATATCTGTGTAGTTAGAATATTTTTTTTGAAAAAGTTCAGAAGCATTCCGAATAATCAACTCTTAAAAGTCAAAGCGAAAATACCTTATGTTCATAAATATATTTCCCGTTGTCTTGATTAATTTCATTATATATTGAATTAAAAAGTTGTTGACATTCTTCATCTGTGGCAACCTTTTGTGATGGCTGTTTGTAATTCCATATAAAATTACTGGTCATTCCCAAATGAAAACATAGTACCTAATTATACAAACATCGATTACCTAAATTTTTTTAATCAATTAAACAAATATTTTTTAATTAATTAATATACACACTTTTTTCCCTGATTGCGGATGACGGTAAATTAATGGATGTATGGGCCCAGACCTACGATCACTCTCCATCCAAGCTTGATTCCACCATTCATATGTTTTTTTATCCAAACTCTCAATAAGTTCAGTTAGAGGAACAAATAAAGTTGCACCTTCTTTGGGAACAGATGCCATATGATACAAAGAATAAGCAAATGGCGCAGGCTGAAACGTCCCATCTATGTGCCAACCCGAGCGCCCAACACCTATTCATACATAATGCCGACTTTAGAAAGTTTATATTAAATAGTTTCTAAAGTAAAAATATTTTGCATTTAACCTGTACACCCTTCATTCTCATCGTTTGAAACACGGAATACATCCGGATGGGGTGACTTTGGATGTTTATAAAAAGTAGACTCTAATTCGCCAAACCATTTGCTTATTTCAACATGTCTGTTACCGCTTATAATTCCTTGATCTTTAAAAATCAATAATCTATGTTCTATGACATCTTTTTTTATCTGATGTATAACTGAACCCACACATACGTTATTTAAAAACAAAAATTACATTCCATTATTTACTTAAACATAAAGTAATTGCTTACTTTCAGGTCGGCTTTCCACTTTCAAGTCAATTCCACGAACTTCACAACCCAATTGTTTAATAACTTTTTCCATTTTGACGATATATTTTTTAAACATTAAAAAAACAACTGCGCAACATTTTATAATATATATATTATATTATATTTATTTCTCAAGAACAATCCTTATAATAATAAAACGTTAAATTGTAATAATTTGTAACCATACTCCATAGATAAGTGTAGGTACACAAGTATGTGTTTGTAATACAGATTAGATAAAAGTTAAAACTAATTTGTGATTGTAATTCGTACAATGAAGGAATTTCTTATCATTTAATACCAAACTGATAACGCATTTTCTAATAAGATGATAGTAATAAAATAATTAAAACTATTTTTACTAACAGTTGACGATATACTTATAAATTGAGGCATTTCGTACCGTATTCAATTACTCTAATTATTCATTAACGCACCATATAAGATGCCGGCTACGACAATACAAAATAATGTGAAAATACATCATTTATGTAACTGTAACTTTAGTTGGTTTAAATACATGAGTGTAGCACAATTGTCTATATGAAGCGCCGCGAAGACAAACAATGTAGTATTATGACTTGAGAACGATATGAAAAAAAAATTGGTTATAAGCTAACCGGGTTTTCGTTGACGGTTGAACTGCAAAATATTTGAATTATAGTCAACAGTTGTATGGTAAACCGTCATCAAAATTAGTTTCGAAATTAAAAATATAATAATAAAAATTTCAAAGTAGTTATTTTGCCTACTTACAGCCCCTTTCAAGTTATAGCTGAAAAATGCGTATTTTTTTTGTAATTATTTTAAAACTGATTACTATAAAATCAATGTTATAAGTAGTATATTTGTATATTTTTGTGCGCATTAATACAGTGCATAGATGAAGTATAACGACGTCATAAACAAAACGTACAACAATAACAATTGACTTACACCCATACTTTGATTATAATGTAGATTAGCTAGATATTTTATAAATAATGCTTAAAACTTTCCAGCCATGTTAAATAAATAATAGATCAGCTGGCAATCATTTTGGCTTCGACGTGTTTTGAGAAGGTATTGATTTTAGTTGTAACCATGATTTTTTATTTTTTTTCTAGACCAGTGATACCTATTTAACGTCTGGGTTGATTTTTATGTAGCCAATTTATAAAACAAAAAATATTCGCATAAGCTACTTTATAAGGCTATAAGTTCGTCTCCTTATCTTACAAGAGATGGTAACGTTTTTCTTTATTTCGATTTCTGAATAGTAATTTTAAGGTTTTTTACCCCCACTATTTATGGCTATGACAATAAGAGTTATTAAACATTCAATTCCTATTTTCTTTCTTCTTATATAAAGAATACTAATACTTTATAATTTTCTACATTCTACATATATTTTCGCTATTTATATCTGATTCCGATTTACGCTTGTTATATGAGTTATATGTGTCTCCTATATTACAAAATAGCTGCTATGCAAAATAAACTGCTATTTTTCAGTGTGCTGGTATTTTCTTAAAAAACAAAGAATATGTGCAACTCTAGTTCGTAAATGTTTACAATTTATTATAAAATATAATGTTAAAACACTTATTTATTTTTGGTAAACTATAAAATGAAAAAAATAGCTATTTAAATTATACCTCTATTAAAGGTCTACTAATATAACTGTATAACAAACATTTTTTTTTTGGAACAAGGACCAAAGTTCATTATTTTTTGCTGACTCTAAGCTAAAAATTAAAGTAGAATTAAAAAAAACATTTTTATAACAAACGAAAATAAGAAAATAAAAATTTTTATTCTGTAAGTTTCTTCAACTCAAATATTTTCAAAAACGATGTATTAGAAATGTTTTTGGTTTTGTTCTAAATAAGACGTGAAATTTTGTTGTACAATATACTCAACTGAGTACAAACTACATAAGATATATGCAGTTCACATATATTGTTTTATTACATTCTGTGGTGTTAATTGTTTCCAATTACTTATCGCCATTTAACTATCATAGATCATTTCAATTGTGTAAAGCTTTGACCTGAATCATGAAAAATGAAACAGTTGTTATAAATGAAAATTTTGATAATTTCAAAAACCTTAGGAAAAAGATGTGCAATTATTTTAATTATTATACTTGTGATATTATTTTTAAAACAAATTATACATATATTTTTAGTTGTTTAAAGTTGTTTACCTACCTAAATTGTGCATTTTAATTTATAAAAGAAACTACTATCCAACTTGTTATTCATTGTAAAGATTTTGGAATATGCCTATTGTCCATGTAAGTTGGTTACATTTTTTCATTATGAGGAGATAATGTCCTAGATTCATATTTGCATAAAGACTAGAAAACTTCCACCCTTCACGTATGTTATTTTTTAATAATAGATTTCATACAGTATATATTTAATCTATGCGTCTATAGTGATCTATGTTTTGTATAATAATTATTATTATTTAACCGAGTATTTTATCACACCTATGAGTGAAATAGCATCGAAAAAACCAGACGTTTTCGCTGAACACCATTCCTTTTGATTTGTAATCGCCATCATTGAACCAATTGAGATTTTAGTGATCTGTCAAAATATCGGACATACCTATAACATTTTTTAGTCATTATCATAATAGTTATATTATTTATTTTCCATCCACAAACTACTTTATTTTATCATCTATAAACCTTGAAGTCAAACACAATAAATAGTTTTATTTATTTACAGAGGGATAAATCACATTTTTGACAATTTTTGGTAATATTTGGAAGCTCAAATCTGGTTATTTATTATAATTGTTTTTAATTTAGTTCGGCGTTCGCGTATAATTTTCGTCAAAGTAATTGTTTGTACGTACGCAGAGTATTTTTTTTAATAGCATTTTATTTTTTCACTTTAATAGTCAGGTACCCAATAATAACAATAATAATAACGTTGAATTATGTCGACCGCCTGTGGCATAAGCAGAGCACAAGCGTTTGCCGGTTGCTGGCACAATAGCACGGCGGCGCGGCGTTTGGTTAATAATAATAGAAACAAAACAAAGCGTGCACCGCCGATGCATCCATGTACTACTGCTTTTGCTAATCAACTGCCGGCGCTCCATTGCCGCCTTCAGACGTCAGTCTGATGTGGTGCCGTCGCGGTGTCCGCCAAAAACCATAATTCCGTTCAGGAAATCTTTGCCTTCCTGCTAAACGCGCACAAACTGTAAGCACAAGTCATCAAAACACTCAGGTAAGTTTGCACGGATTAATTGTAAATACAAAATATAGCATTGCTTCTCGACGGTTCTAACCGTAATGACCGCCGTTCTAGTTGCATCGAATACAAGTATTTAAAAAAAAACAGCTGTCGAGTTAGCTCAATAATTGTTTTAACTTGAAAAAAAAAATGCTGATAACAAGACACGATGAGGTTCGTATGTATAGCTGTAATAGTGAGCTTCGCAGTTTGCTCTAACCAAAATAGTAAATCAAAATAATATACTATAACGTAATTGTAAAAATGGTAACCTTTAATATTGCGAAGTCTTGAGCAATACACGTTTCACAGGAAAATCACACACACACACACATACATAAATTACGCATAATAAGGGTCAAAGGTGCTTTTGTGATTATCAAATCATCAGACACCAGCTAAGCCGATGATTGTACCAAAACAATTATCAATCAAAACAAGTTTATGGCCTGTGAACATAGAAACAAATCAAATTAGTATTTGCATAATTTGTATTGTCTTTTCTCGAGCAACTGAACCCAACCTCGTTTGATTTGTTGTGATTTTTTTGGCTTTGGTCATCGGATTGGACAGCTATAAATATTTATATTGTAGAAACTCGATTATACCTCATTAAAATATTTAAAATTTACAGAGAAATAATACAAATAAAACGACGATAATTATTTGTTTGCAAGCTGATTAAAAAGCCATAACAGTGTCGGGGCATATTGGAGAGGAGATGGCCACAGGTCTATAGAAATCGGTGCGAATCTATAGATGGTAGACACTAGAAATACAAATATTGATAAAATCATTAATATGACTTATGACAAATATTTACTTCAAATTGTGTTTTGAGTATTTATAGTGGATACGATTATGATCTTAATTTTGATATTAAAAAAAGTCTCAAGTTACATATGTAAAAACTCGGTTAGTATAAAGATTTATAGATCCACAAAAAGAATCCGGATGTAATAATAAACCAGCTAACGAACTATACGATACTTTTAACTATAATTATCCGTTCTATCTTTTTAATAAAGGCTAATAAAAAAAAAAGTCAGTAATAGATCAGAAAAATCAGTCAGGAAAAATAAAAAGTCGACTACAGTTTTTTGAGAATATTTTATATGTTATACCCTCACTCTAGATCTACCATCAGTCTAGCTTTCAGTCTTCAGACATAAAGCCCTAAAACTAAACCTCAAAAAGCATAATACAGAACAAGTTTTCACTCATTTTGGGGAAATAGTTGTCTGTTGGTATTATTTATTGTTTTGTAAACGTATAATGATAATACTATATCTAAAGAATATTGGATACAAATTTGGAGCTAATTAGTCTATTTTTAAACAAATTATATTGAGCCGTAATTTTAAGTATGTTTTACTCTATTTTGAATAGAAAGGGGTGAACTTTTTGTTCACCGAATAGACTTTTTGGTGTGATTTCTGATCTGTAGTCTTGCTACATTAAAAAATAGGTCCAGTGGTTTAGAAGATGGTGGATGGAATCATGGTAAAAACAATACCTTCGAGTGAAATACATTTAAAAAGTATTAAATTTCGTAAGTATAAAATAATTAAAATTAAATCAAGTTCTCTGTATCTACTCATTTTATAAGTGAAAAATAAAAATATATATTACGTTTGAGTAACAGACATTTCTAAATTCGATACCCAAAATAAAATAGAATAATAACTTATTTACATTATCTACATAAACTACAGTTACCTAAATAAATACATCCATTAAGAAATAACTGTTAAAAAAATGTTTTCTGTAATTACTTCATACAAAATTGAAATTATCTAGTCGACAATAATTACTTTCAATTTCAAGTCGTTATGTAAGTATTAAATTGCTCTTAATTGTGATCGTAAAAAACAGTAATCACATGTTTAATATTCTGAAATCAATGTAGTTTATTTCAAAGGATTACGTTTTATTTTTAAGTTAATTACTTTCAACGACCATCTAAATATTTTTCTTATAACTTAAACTTATTAGCTGTATATAATATACACGCTCTTCTTAAAAACAATAATTAGCCAAAACCGAGGTGTAACACGTTTTGTTGATAAAACGATTGTATTTGGTCGTGTCTGCTGTTGAAATCTGATTAGACTTTTTAGATTTTTAGTGAGAGTTAACAAATATGAAATGTGTTTTAACGCAGAAAAAAATTGTCGAGATAATTAATCGAATTTTGTATAATTGCTAAATTTCACTTGGCATATGGTTTGGTCTCCAAAACAGTATATGCCATGCCTATAAGTTGTCCAAGACATGTGCGAAATCAGCAGTGAGTACATTAGGTACCTTAAATGTAAACATCAAACAAAATTATATATCGGTCGGCTAAACCAAAATAGACATGCAGACAAAGTTGGCTCGCGTTTCAATGACCTACACATATGGTTCCTTCGACATTGTAAGTTAGCTAACAGTACATCATTCAATTTTTCATCAGTCATCTGTTCAACATGAACAGCTCTCACTTTTATCAAATTTAAAAATAAAAAAATTAAACCAATTATTTTTGTAATGCTTTTAAAGGGAGATTAAAAAAACGGAGTTATAAACAATTGAACAGCCAATCTCCACCAGGAATAAAACAACAATAAACAGTTTTTGTTAGTTAATTCATTAATAATCACCGTAAACTGTTAATTAATATTAATAAGGATTGTGATTTTAAGAGCTTGACGGCAGACACTATTTTTTTAAATATTTTATTTTATAATAAAAAATTCTGATTATTAAAATTTTTATAGTATCATGTTCTGTTATCGTAGTCCCCAGATCTTTGTGCACAATTTTATTTCTAAATACTTGATCTTTTTTAATAATTAAGAATAGAATTGTTTTGGTGCATGACTACTGCCATATTTTTGTATTATATTAGATATGGTTTTATACTCATAGCCTATGGAATAATGTGATTGTTTTCTTTATTATTTTTTAAGTAATATTACTTGCACTTATGCAGATTTTAATAATTTAGCTAGGCTCTATTATTTTTTTTACAACAAAATCATGGTTTATTTAATGTCAGATTTGACTGTGTAATAATTAATATAATGTCTAACATATTTTTGGCAGCTGGCCGGCGGTTTTTATTATATTTGTTTACATGAAATTTAAGCGATGTTATATAGTTATAATTGGACGTCTCCACTAGAGAATGAAAAAGTTGGTCGAAAAAAAATAAGCGCAATGTCCAATAATGGTTAATGTAAAATGTTGACAACATTATGTCATAGAGTAAACTACTTACGAAATTAAAACTATTAAAAATAAAACGAAAAATTGTTAAAAAAACAAGTTATATTGTTATTGTTTGTTGCAACTATCAAGTAGGAGGAAAAAGACTATACCTAATGACGAGATAAGATATTTCAATGATATCTTTATAAAGTATGCAGCTACGCCAAACCTTTATTTATAAGTATATCAAAGTATACACATCATGGTGTTAACTATTAAATCAAATAAATAACAATTGAAAAAAAATCATTATAACTTCACAGCTCAATAACAGATTAAGTTATTTAATTTACATTTTGCAAAAAAAAAAATCTCACTATTTAGTAAATTCTAAAATTTGTTTGGTTACCATGAATCACGTTTCCTATTTTTTTTTTATAATTTTTCAACGTCTATTTTTTATTTTACTTGTTTAATTCTTAAATTTTTGTTTGTAAAAATGTGCAACATTTTTACATTATTTTGGGCTTCGGAATAAATAATTGCATACCTACGAGTACAGTGTACAGTATTTCACAGAACGTGTGCCTTCCACTAGTACTTAAGAATAATTTTGGCAGAGCGTCGCTGTGGTTCTTACTAGCAACAAAGATTATGTATGTAGTTTGACAACAATACTAGGTAGGTAGGTTATAAATTTTGTGCAATGGCCGATAATCATTATAATCGTAGGGTTGCAAAAGATAATGGTAATCGGATATGTTTCTCAGTAGCACTATCGATGAAACGGTTCTGTAACTTGTCGTTTTTAACGTGTAAAATCATAGTGCAAAAAAAAGCCTATTAACTTACGCGGCGCTTGTATAATAAAAAATGTTTTAAGTATTAAGGTATGCTGCTTCTTTGGACGTGCTAAATTATCGCCAACGTGGGAGGGCAGTGGAGATTACAACGGTGACGAAAACGAAAATAATAATCTATCGCCAAGAGGGTTCGAGAGATTTGTAAACCTCCTAAGAATGTTAATGCGGTCCGATGTGTTTTTTACGACCTGGCGCGATCTTTTTTTTTTGTGAAAAGCGGATCCGTTTAGGCTGGACACGAAGACTGGAGAAAGAGAGGAAAAATATATATATAATAAGTTATAATGACTATTTTATTTCGGATACATACAGGAGTAGAGCTATTAATGTCATCGGTACCGTGTGTTCTCTTCCTTTAGTTCTTGTGGTCGTCGATCGTCAGCTATTACACGAGCAATTTAACTTTATGAAAACGACAAGGACGACTTACTATAATAATAATAATGACCGCTCTGGTATACCTCATAAGGTCCATCAGCAGTGGCGGCATACACAAATACACTCAAAGATAGATACAAAAACTGAACACATAACATCACCTACCGCCGCCATCTCAGATATTATCAATATTACTATTCCTTTATGTCCTTGTAGCTGAGAATCTGTCCAAGACGATCATCATTATACATATTATATATACATATACCGCATGCGCCATTTCTGTGGAGTCGTAAAACTAGATGGATAATGGATTTATCAATTTTATACTAAAACCACACACAGACACCGTATTTTTATTGGCGCATACACTATATTATATTATGTTATAAGTGGCCTTGTATTTGAAACCCGTAACACGGCGGATTTGTGTTGACTTTTTACTACATCATTATTTAAACGATCTTTGCGGTTGGGTTTGGAGAATATCAATACCTAATTATGATGATATGTACCTATACCATAACATTCGATCGCTCAGGTTGTTTCCAGTATAAAACTACTGAGCGATTTCAACGCAATAATTTATGTACACGGTATCATTGTTGCTTTTTCGAGAAACTCTTTATCAAGTAGAGTCCAAAAGAAGTTATTAAAAACAGATTGGCTTGCTTAAGTACACAATAATCATAGCGACATATCTATAATCCGAATCGCAATTGACCTCCAGCAAGACTTATCAAGTTATAAAAACAATTTCAAATAATCATTTGACTAGTTTATGTAGTTCCGTTCCATAAATTATACTTACCACTTACCGTATTAACAATTTATTGTGGTGTTGTTCTTAATAGTAGAATTATAATTTTAGAATAATGAACAGCTTTAAATACTTGAAAGTAAACATTAACAACAAAAATAACACGCACTAAGAGGTTAATGAGATAATTATTTGTAAAAGATACGCTAATTATACCATAGCTTTCTGCGCCCAACAGTGACATATTTTAGCGAAACATTTAACAAATTATTTAAATGACATTTAACAAAAGGTTATGAGAGAAAATTAATAACATATTAATACCAAATACTTCTTGGCATATATGGTTCCTTCTACAATCTAGAAAAAATAAGTTTGAGATAAGAAAGAGCTACAAATGTTATACAACAAGCCAGATGATCTCTCCTGGGTGGCCAATAATTAATAAAAAAAGTGTTGGCGAAGAAAATAAATAGGAAAATACTTCCGGGGTGACTGTGAACTCGGTGGTTGATGTAAATACCAACTATGTGAGCAGATTGGGTCAGAATGCGTCCTTTGACATGATTTATACGAGAGATATGAAGAGACTTGGTGGTGACAGCCAGCAGCAATGGTCCTTAATAGACCGATGGATTGGGGAAGGAGATATAAACAGTATGATCCATATTACAATAAATATGCTAGAATATTGACGTAAAATTACAATTTTATTAGATGACATTATATATAACCATGTATGATATATATCAAGAAGTGACGCCAATATTAAAGTTGTGGCTTACTCTTGCTGCGGCCTTATGAGTTATTATTATGAACATAGCGTTCATATTACTACCAAATAACATCAGTTAGATTTTTTTATAATTTAGGAGCACAGAGTGTGTTACTTTCTTACTTCTCTTCTCCTACATTTTCTAAAAACAACAATTGGGACAATCTAATGAAACCTCTATATAATTATGGTTTATACCTAAATTTGGATATATATTTCATATTTTTCGTATATATATACATTGGTATCGTTTTAACTTTTAAAGAATTAATAACTACCAATCGAATAATTTGGAACTAAACTGCACAAATTCAAAATTCAACGTTAGGAAGTTAGAGGTTAGGCCAGATATGCTTCAGTTGCCAAAATAATAATTTTACACGTCTATAATATTCTCATAATCTTATTATAATTATTATTATATATTTAAATAGCTGACATGGCGCTTTCTTTTCATACTGTTACGGTGATGATTGCTCGAAATTCTTCTTACGCGTAATAGTAATTACTACTGATGAGAAGTTTATTATAAGATACATTATTACGTGTTAAAAAATAGACTATTTATTCATCGTACGCGTTGAACATTATTTCTGTGTATGGAGTACACCTTTGTTAAGGAAGTCAGAAGTGCATGTGTACGAACAGGAAGTCATAAGCTGTTCCAACACGAATGATTATAATATGAAAGATGCATCGTGGCCGCTGTTTTCTTTATTTTGCTTATAAAATAGTACAATATTATCATTACATTATTTTAATACATTTAATGGAATGATTTGGGCGTATCGTTGGTTAAAAATAAAACCATTCAGCCATCTCCGGTGACTACAAAGGAGTGGTTTAATATGATTGAGTTTTGTTTGTTTAATCAATTATATTATGTAAATAGTTTATTTAAATAATCGTGTGTTCTATCATTGCGGTCATATGGTACTTACACGTAATGTCAACAAAACGTTAAGGATAATATTTTAAACAATAGATTCGCTTGTTTTTTTTAAACGTGTACAATAATAATATGGTTCACACAAAACGCCACAATGCGTTTTATGTCGGTCGACCGATATTTGACTTGGGTTTAAGTTTCAAAGAGCCCGAAGGATTTCGTGCATTTTTTTCCTCCTATTTACGGACGACTCAATGAAACGTGTATTCTTCACGGTACACTAATCATTTTAAAATTACATACCACAAAAGCGCGGGACGGCGCGACGATACGTACACTCAGTTGATTACCCATAATCTAGCCGGCCACTATACACTATACACTTATAAAAAAGAAGAAAAAAAATGAATATTGGTTCTTAATACCATTTGTATCATACTCGGTTTTCCGGTTAAAGACCCGACGATTTTTCTGGTTCAACGGACCTACCGTAGTTACCATTGGGTAATAACACTTTGGGTTTGCTGTGAAAAATATTATGAGTTTAATATACACATTTGCATGTTTATGACACGCGCGCCCAAAACATTAGTGACAGTGACTCTAATGTACTTACGTCAATGTTGTTGTTGTTGTTGTTGTAGATGTACTAGCTAAGCAGGATGCGGCCAGACACGCGAAACACTGGCACAGTCGCCGAACTAAAAATGAAGTTCGCCGGCAACCAAAATGTCAAAAACGTCATTGGGGTTGCGGGTATGGCGACCAGGACACCGTCGACGGTCACCAAGGTGGTTTGCAGAGTTAGGTCGCATATTGGTGGCTCCAGCAGAACTTATGGTACCACTAAGAAGGACGTAAGTACAAACGTACCCCTTTTTTACTACCCATATAAATTATGTACCTATATAAAAAAAACTATGAAGTCCGAAAAAGTGTAAAATTTCTTTTTTGCATTATATTTTATTAAAACAAAAAAATATTCTAGAAAATTCTTCAAGTAGATAGTATGTCTTTTATTCCTATTTTCTTTGGAAAATAAGTAACAGTTGTACCTACACGCAATATATATATTAAAAATATATCAAAAAGGACTTATGCATGCAAAATAGAAATCTTTGTCTTTGCTTTCTTAGGCCGTTAACTAATTTAGTAGAAGAACGAGCCTGTTATAATATAAACTAACTCACCTCTACGCGAAAAACGTGTATCAATAATTATTGTAAGCATTATGGTGTGCTACGGAACTATTCAGATTTTTTAATGAAAACACATGTAATTCTCATTCGCGATAATAACTTTTGAGTCATTTTATTACTATATGATACTAAATTATAGTATTATATAATATTTATCAGTAAGCTGGACGTTTTATCTAATGGTCATAATTATTATCCAAAGGTAACTTTAACGGAATTAAATACCCATTTTTTAATATTTGATTGTTAATAGCACAAGGCGTACTGGCGGTGGCTATCGACCGGTTGTAATATAGTGACTGGTTCTATCTGTTTTTAATAGTACACGCACAGAGAGATCTAAGACAACTATTATAACGTATAGAGGCGTATGCGCGTAAATCCGTTTACTTCCGGTTCCAATACCCAGTTTGCCGCGTTTAATAAACATAATAATAATAATATATTAGACCCGCGTGTAGGCTTCAAAAATTAAAAACACATTTTAAGATGTGAATTCATCAGTGGAAAATATTGCACGTTATCGGAATGTTAACTACGGATTTTCTTGGCAAATTTTGCAATTAGTATGGACCGCGTGCACCGGGGCTGGGATTATAATTCGCAACGAACACAACGTTATTTGCAATCGAAAGTACTAAATCATCAGACGTTTTCTTTTGTATATTAAAACATTTTAGACAAACCGATACAAGCACGTATTATGCGTGAGCAGTGCTCCGTGTTATGCAAGACATAGTGGAGACAATAACCTCATAAATCATAATATAACGCTGGCATCGTACGCTTTTCAGAGAGTGTTATGTTAGTTGTACGAATGTTCAATCAAGATGATTTTTTTCCCCCAAGTATAAAACAATAACACCACTTGACGCGTAAGAATTTCTTAATTGATGGATCGTTTTCAATGACAAAAGCCAATTGTTATTAACCTTGAAAAAACTATGAAAAACATACCTATTCATTGGCTGTAGCTAATAACAGAAATCTATAGTAGCTAAGATATATATTATAATACAACATCTCTTTTTCTATTAATCGAGTTGATTACAGTTTTCGTATTGAATTCATTTAAAATGTATAAACTCAAATTTTGTTGAATGTTCAAACATCAATGTTTTTTTACAATTTTAGTAACACATTTAGTAACTGATGTTGAATAAATGTTTTGTTTGTTATAATTATACTTCTAAACAGACTGACAATATTTTTTTCTTAGTCCTAGTCAGCTCTACCTAGATTTTTGTATTGATTGTGTATCTCGATTTTGAACGTGGGAAGGACAATAATCAATTAGACTTGATTTTTCGATTGTACACTTCCTATTAAAGGCGATGTGTCAGAAACTGGTCTGTACGTCACAAATACATAATATATTTAGAAATAGAAAGTTAATCAGAACACCCAACATGCAAAACATACACAAAGATAACGGCAAAACTCAGAATTCTTACTGAACTTCGTACTTCCGATCATTTTATGTAACGATAATTATGCAATTATAACACCTTCACTCTTTTTTGCTTTGCCTTGGAAGGTTAAACCTAAATGCCGTGCTTTCAGCTATTGAAGTCTGTTTGAAATGTGCTATTGATAGATTAGTCTCAAAGATTGTTATTTCAAGCAGTCGGCACATTATTTGCGCTTAGAATGACAACAAACCACCGTCCTTCGCTTTATGTAAATACATAGACTGAAGTACCTATACTGCAAGTTAGGATTGTCTTTGATGACTCATAGCTGCTATACCACGTATCGTGCGAACCGTCGCCAATTCACTTATACCGCCATCGTTAAGGGTTGATGTATGAGAGTCGATGTAAAACTGTGGTATATTAAACCGGTTACCAACAATAACTGAACTTCATGTTTGTTTTTAATCACAATACATCACCCTGAGTATCATAATACATTTATATGCATTTGTTTGAGGAATTTGTGATCCAAATTACAGATTAAAGCGAACAATGCAAATATTGAGATATTTATTGTTTGGTTTTATTTACTGTGACTCTTGTGTCACTGAATTCATAAAACAATTTTCAAATATTATTTTTAAAAGCATCTTAAAATTCTTAATCTCGTTTGAATATTGCAGTGATGTTGTTATCGGTCCATCGACGTTGCAAATTCCACTTCACTTTCATTTCATTTTATTGAATTAAATATTTTATTAATTTGTTTAATGTTTTTGGCCGATCGTCTATCATGGCTGAAATCAACTGATTTTCAGTATTAACGAGATACACGATGTACAATGAGGATTTGTCGGACCGTGTATTTCTAGGGTCAATACAATTGGCTTACACCAGCTTTACATCTCGAGCTAAGAAATGTGCTAAACGTTGTGCGGACGGATTATGTTTCACGACTGTTTTTGGGAATTAGCCGCTCACCAAACGAATAAATGGTGCATGTTAATAAAAAAGAGTATTATACTCGAATTTAGCTAAGTAACCGTCGGTCATATTACTTCAGGCAAGAAGTAAAAGTATTTACCGTTAGCGCGACTTGTTATTCAAATTTTTATATTGTTCAAATGATACGAGTTTGACATTATAATGTACTCGCAAAACCACATTTACCATAGTATAATATGTATTGTATGAAAGCAAATGCGCATTTAACGTGATTATGTGTTTTACAAATTCATCTAAATTACAATAATGTGTGCCAATGCACCTGTATAGTCATAATCATTTCTAAACTCCCTCTTACGGGAAGCGATCGTAGTTAATAGTCCTATGGACCACCATATTATTATTGAAGTGCATTAAAAAAAAAAAAAAAAAACACAACATTCACACTATAGTAGAAATAATTTCTAATCGTAGGAACACGTTGGTGGTCCTCGACATGATACCATACACTGATTATAGCCCACGGGATAAAACAATAATAACCGACCAGTGATACAACATTTTTTGTGATCTACTCCGTTTTGAATTACTTAATTAAAATAAATAGTATTTCTTATATAATTAGTTCGACCGTGAGATTTTACTCATGTAAATCGTGGCGACGAATACATTTCTTTGAAATGAACATTTAATTGAAGATCTTAAGCGTATTGTCTTATGACAATACACGCATTGATGAAACGTTTAGGTACAATTCGGATGAACAAAGAAACTAGATTATTGTAATCCAACAAAAAATAAAAAACTATATATCGTTTTTCTAGAAGGTAGAAAATTTCCGTCGCTATGAGCAATTAATGTACAAAAAAAAAAAATCAATAATAACGTTGTATAACGGACAACGTTCCAATTATAAATACCAATTTCCGTCAATATCTCTAAGACTTTCTAGATACTTATCCATATTCCAATTGAGGAAATCATTAGACTTTAATTGCTAATGGACTCATTCAATGCGGAATCGAAACGCTTCAGTATTGAAACCACTCACATGTACTAGTATTAAGTAAATGTGTTTTTTTTATCATTTACACTATCATCGGTCGAGGGTAAATTTATCCGTTAGACAATAAATACAAATAATTAACGGTATGAAATTTTATTGGAGTACCTACAATTTAATTGAACTTTTATTTTATTAGCTTGATTAAAATTGTACGCAACACCAAGCTATTAGAATATGGAGATAAGTGTCTGGTCATATTATTTTATGATCGAACCTTAATTTGTTACACAAATTGGTTTTATTCCCGAGTATAATTACACAGGTGTTTTTATTTCTTTTCAGACGAGCTATGTATATTATACAATTTTTTTATTGAGTACTTGTTGAATTATGGTTATGTATGTTTAATTCAAACGTCATTAGGATGTATTAACTAATATTTTATTTTTTAATATTTTAACCACCGTTTCTAATTGGTCCAATATTCAAGTAAAAACTAAATTTTTCAAGAATTTTGCTTAAAAACTTATATAAACAGCTGTTGAATAATTACCCAACTATTTAGACACAGTTTAAGGAAACTGTAATTATTGTATTTTGTTTTTAACAAATATATTGGCTGTACAACATTGTATAGATTATATGTTTATATATATATATATATATATATATATACAAAATATATACCAACAAAACGCTATGCACTTAAATTTAGAAAAATGTTCCTATATTACTTTCTCCTTAATAAAATCACCTATACAATTTAATTATTCTTTGGGTAATATAAATTTACGAAGAGTATCCACAGTACACGATCTTGCCATATGCACAACTTAGTTTTTTCTCAATTGGTGAGAACGCTATCGGGGGTTAACTACCATTGTTTGACGATATTGGGTACGCCGGATTATAATAATTAAACAGATATCTGTCCCGTTTTTTTGGCTCACGCTGCAAGCTAACTCGGTCATTACTCAAAAACGGCAACAGTACTATTTTAAACCTACCATTGGAATATAGACAACAATTTTTAAGATATTTTTATAGATTTGTTGATAGGCTTTACGAATTACGTGGCTATATCGTCTACTATACGTGTGTGTAGATGAGAGAGAGAAGTAGGTGTGGAGAATGTTTTCTTGCTTTCCACTGCTGCCGCCACCACCGCCACCACAGAAAACCAAGCCAGCCAAGTGCGGACGTCTGTGCCGGTCGGGGGCTACGGTCGAGAACGACGATGATTACTGAACAACAGGTGCATTGCCTCAGTTCGGTTCCACGTTCCAACGGTG